TGATACGGAATTTCAAAAAACGTATACAAAACTTATTTATAATAATGAAAAAACGTATGCAAATTTTTTATAGGGCTTGAGAATTCATTAGAGAATCAAGAATATTAATAACTATATCAATCATTTTTTCATATATAGAATAAATTATGCTTTTTAATTTTTTACTATATTACATCACAAAAAAGTTACAAAAAGTTTGTTCAAAGTCTAATCACGATGTATTCAGAAAAGTATAAAGAATATACATACCCTCAAACTTCAAGTTTCCTTAAAGTTTCTTTCTCTAAAAAATACTTTCACTAAAAATTCATTCTATTGCTTTAAAGAATTATCTCCAAAATGAAAATATCATTAAATTGTATATTCCTAAAAATGACTACTCTTTCTGATTCTTTTATAGTTCTCATTTGTGATAAAAATGATATTAATGGAAATGAAGTCGACTTTAATGATCTTAAAATTAAAAATCTCAAGTTTCTTATTTGAAAAAAGAAAAAAGAAATATTAAAAATCAATAATCCTGATACTTTGAACCTTTAGAAGGTTTCTATCGATGATAACCTTAAAGATATTATTACTAAAAAATAAATTAAAAATAAAGGCGAAGAGTTAGTGCCTATCAAACTTATTTTAAATTATTTTTCGAATAAAAATGCAACTAATAAAAGTATCATCATTATACAAACGCACATTACTAGTAAGTGTTTTTCAATATTTTACCTTTTAAATAAGAAACTTATAATAACAAAAATATCAAGTTTGATCTGATCTTTTTTTTTTACGTTAAAGTAGATCTCTTTCAAAAAGGCATCACATAAGGTACAGTATCTAGTTAAATAGCTTGTATTATCTTAGTTTTTATATTCTAATCTATCACTATTAAATATATAGAAACTGTTGATTGGAATAATGTTAATTCAATTTACAACTGGATAAAAGAGTTAAAATGACCTAGTGAGATTCAAAAGTCTGCGATATGTTTATTTTATACATGTTTTTTTTAGTTTTCAGACTATATTCTAACTTCATACTAGCTTGTAAGTTCCTTTGGTATTTAATTTTCTTTACAAGAATGAAATGAAACATTTGAAATATTACTTAATGGCAATCAATTGCAAAATAAAATCTGCTAGAAGTTTAGATTTAGCAAGAACAAAATCTATGACAAACAAGAACATCATATTTTTATCCTTGTTAATGAACCAGGTATAAGAAAAAGTCGATTTCTTCAAGAACTTTCAATTTTAATAGAAGACTATATTTAAAATTACATAAATTACAATGTAAAAAACAAAAAACTTTTATAATCATTTGATAATAGAAAAGTATTATTTATCAATGTTATATTTAATAGTGATACTAATATATTAAAGAATGAGATCTTGCTGAATCTGTATCAATTGCATTGTGAATACTTTATGAATACTTTATTTCTGATAGGACAATAAACTTTTGTCATTTTTCTTTGATATGTAATGATAATTAACGTAAATTCAAAATTATAAGTGTACTTGATATTATTATCAGAGATATTAATAGTAATATTAATATTATCATCTTTAGCATTGATGAGCTAAATTGTCTTCATAGTATGGCATTAGCAAAAAGTAATTTAAATCTGATTCAAGAAATAATACATTCTGTTGGATCATTAAGTTGCAGTCAAGGAAAAAGATTCTATGTATTAATCTTAGCTGGAACTATTCAAGCTCCTCTTAAGAAAATGATTAAAGAATTAACATATAATCTTTTACGTCTACTACTCCTTCTTCTTTCAGATGGAGAGATGAAGTATATATGATATAAATTCAAACAAGACTGACAGACTATATCAATACAATAAAACTTTTCATCGCTATATTAGTGATATTGGTGAATAAGTCTAAGTTTTAAAAATTTTCTTTAGAATATTATTGATTGTAATTGGTAGAAATACACATAAAGTGGATTATAAGTTTGTTAAGTAACTTGTCAACCACCACTTTATGAAAAAATATCTGTTTGAAGAAGTTGTGACCATTATAAAACCAGTAGTTATACATGCTATTCTTAATATTTCTATGATTGAGAGAGATAATTTTTTTATTGATAGTATTAACAAATCTTATATTGATCTCTCATCGGAGGTATTATTAATTTGGAAATGATACCTGATAATCCTAGTATGTCTTATATCCGTATACCATACATTTGGATGTGGATATTAACCTTACTTGCAAAATTCAAAGTAGGTAAATTTGGAATTTGATGATTGATCAGAAATTCCATATCTTGTGATAGGATTTTGAAGACATTAATATGTGATTTTAGGTCCTATGTCTTCAACTTCTCAAAGAATTATATAAAACGATAATATTACAAAAACTCTTTAAAGATGTATATTATAATGCTCAAGAAATTCTATTGGATCATAAATTTCAGCTTCTAACTGTAGAAGAATATTATGTAAAATTTGAATATCGATATCTTAACACAATGCAACATAAGCACTTATCATTTGGTATAGTATTTAAGAATGGTGAGGGTGTCCTATGGGATATCTTTTTTTTCCTGAATGATTATCTTATTGCTATTCAGGTTAAAATCTTTAAATTCTGCAGCTGAATAACCCCAAATCTTATCTAAGAATATGGTGGAAAATGAGTATAAAAAAGTTGAAGAAGAGTTTGAAATATTACAGAATTCATATACTGGCATTAAACAATGTGTCCTTTTAATCTACACTAATGAATCTAAGATGATAAAGTATTTAGAAGATTTAAAAGATAATTATTTCGTAATAGATTATGATAACTTTAAGGACTTTTACAGGTATACCTTTTCAACTTGTACTGAATTTTCTGCAGGTATGAGTTGATAACTTTGTATTATATAATTATTACTATATAATCTTACATTTGTTACATAGATAATGAACAATTGAATGCTAATACCGTGAAAATATATGAGTTAAGAATAATTAGAGGAATAGAAGAAGCGATAGCAATTAACATTCACAAAAAAAGACCATTTGATGATGAAAATGATCTATATGATAAGGTTAAAAACATTTCTATAGAGATAAGAAAAAAGATCAAGGTTACGATAATTAATAAAATAAATTTGTAACTATTAACTGTAATTTAAAATGTAGTAATATATTTTTATAACTTTACAATATTATATATTATAAAAATCTAATGTTTTAATGCAGATGAAATTTTATTATTCTAAAAGAATATAATATAATGAAATAAATGACATTTAATACATATTTCGCAGCATTAAGTTATTTCTTTGTTCTCTTAGATTTTCTTATAAATTTCTATAACTGACTTATTTTTACATATATCATTAACTACAAGAATCTCACTACCATACTCTTTCTTTACTTGATTTCTCACCAATATCTATAAAATTTTCTTCTATCTATTATTTCTTCTACCTGCACAGACTATGTAAAATAATATTCCTTAAAAAAGAACTAATATTACTATGCATTTATTTATCAAGTTCAAATTCATATAAGATGTGATTTATTTGACAAGAGCTATTGAACTATTCCCTTTTTTTGTTCTTAATTGAAGATTTTAACAGCTAAATATCCCACCTTCTAAGTGGAAATTTAGGTCTTACTTTTTTTATTTATTATTGATATATTTTATAGCCTTTTCAGCTGAACTCTTTATTAATATAGTAAATAAATTACATAATTTAGCTTGTAATCATATTATATGATAAACGAACTAATATACATGATTATTAAATTATGACTGTTATTTTGAACTTATAATATGCGAAAAAATTAAATATATGAATTATGTGTATATAAGTTGATTGATTATAGAAGATCAAAACTTTAGATATTTTATCAACAAACTTTTTAATTTTTTGTATACTTTTTAGAATAACAATTTCCAGTTTTTAATCATACTTATACCTCAAGAAAAAAAATTTTATTATCTAAACAAATACATCTTTTTGCTGATCAGATTAACAATGTCTTTGAGTTTTTTAACATCCTTATACTAACTAGTGCATTCTACCTGATCCTGATCTAGTTTTAAAATTTAACCTCAAGCTTAGCATAGCTCTATCTTGACGCTTTAAGCCTAGCTTTCTCTCAACTTCAAGCTCAGATGACATGAAAGATGATATTTTATACACAAAAAATTATTTTATATTACATAATTATCTTTATTAATACAAGATAAAAATATATCAGATCAATACCGTGATATATGATGCTTATGCTATATATACAATTATTGCTTCTTTTTTTGAAATAACCCTGAACTTGTTATTTTTTTATCACTGACTCCTTTTCAATATCCATCCTATTATTCAACAAACTTTTATTACTTATTCACATTTTTATACAAATCCTTTTCTTTCTCTGAACTTACTAGATATTAAGTGAGTTTTTACTTATATAAGAAATTCTGTTTGATATATAAAAAAGAAAATACTATTCTATAGTTGTAGTCATAATTCTGAAGAGATGGTCATATTCTCTCGAAAGCATCACTTATTTTCATTTTCTCTTATTAGTTTGAAAAGCACTTTCGTATTGTATAATATAAAAACCAGTTAGTAGAACAAGACTTAAAACTGAACATATATCACTAAAGTAAAATGTTTCATATTAATCTGAGCGAACCCAATATCAATTTGATATTGTTTGTTCTCTGTGATACAAATTAACTCTTAAAGCATCTTCGTAATCTACATGATCTGTACTTTTTTCACTAACAACTTTGAACTGCAAGTTTAATAATATATTTTTTCTAATAACTTTTAACAATATGAATATACGTACGAAGGATTGCTAAAATTTATTCACAGCAAATTGCTTCATTACTTTTAGCAACAGTTCTCATATTATATAACCTGAGTCATATATCCTTAAGTCAGTATAATAAAACTTCATTTTTATTATTGATTTTGTGAGTTTCTTTTTATAAAATGATAATATTATATATTTATAATATATGAAGGTAAGTTAACAAGTAGCGGAAAGAACTTACTTGGTATAAATTGTGATATATCTGTTATTCAATCTAATATTCTGCAAAAATTTGACTGAGGATCAAAAAAAGGTTCATATATTTTTCAGCAAATCCTGATTCAGTTTTGCGAAATACTTCTTTAACTTCATATTTTGCTAACACTTCTTTCAAACCTTTCTGAGTTTTATACAAGGAGAAAGGGTACTTTATATTATTTTTGAGAGCCTTGACCTCTTTTGTGAGAGTGTTACTGGTAATCTATAATTACATAATTTTTTTCAATCATATTAAGAAAGAAGAAACTGGTAATTTCTCATTAAACTATATAGTTTTTAATTTATTAATTCATATTAGAAATAGTTAAGTAAACAAATTAATTTCTATAGAACATAACATATTTTTTTATAAATATCAATCTTAACTAATCACTTTACACTATATATGAACCTATAAGGTAATCATATACCCTATGATTAAGAAGGCTTCTGCAGATTAGCTACAAGGTAATAGCATGATTCAGTCATAGAGTTTGTCTCAAATTATTTTTACTATAACTTTACCAGAAATTACATAATCTTATATCATATTTTTGTAATTTCAGTTAATTACTTATCTATTATTATATAATTTAATTTTGTTCTGTGTTATATAATTTACTTGTATCTTGTAATATACTTACATTCCTTATTATATACATTGTCTTTATTCTAAATTTTGTAATTTGTTATTAATATTATATAATTTCAATTAATAGTTTATCCATTATGCATAATATTAATATAATTAATTTAAATTAAAAAATGATGTTACTTATTTATTTATCTTCAATAAAATAATTAGTTATTTTCAAATAAGTTCAATATATTATTGAAATTTAATATTACAGAGAAAATACTTTTATTAAAAAAAAAGAATAATAATCTGAATCTATTAAATATTTATTTTTATATAATAATAAATATTATACATAGAACTAAAATTAAAATAGTCAAAATAGTCAAAATTATTTTGAATTTTAATAACAAAAGTTGAAATTATATCATATTACATGATTTTATAATTTAAAATACTATATTCTTCTAAAAATAAGCATTACTTTTTTGCTATAAAATGCTTATTTTTAAATAATATAATCAAAAAGACTGAAAATTTTTTCAAAATTTGCAATGATTAAATTTCATATTTTATTTCTCAAAAAAATATCATGAATTATTAAATATATATAAAACTCATACTCTGTTAAACAAAAAAAGAAGTGGTTAATTATGTAAAGAAATATGATCAAATCAAAGTTAGTAATTACTTTAACCTTAAAATAACTATAGTAAGACGTTAGGTAAATATTAGTGTTTGCTAAATGGCTAAAGTAAATGAAACAAGTAAGCATATTAATTCTGACTAAAAAGCTTTTTTTAGAAGTAGAAAAAAAGCTGTATATATAGATAATAAAATAAAAAAATAAAGTTTACAATTACTATGAAATAGGATGATTGAAATTTTAAAAAAACCAGTACTGTTGATTCTTTATGATGATTTGATGAAAGAATTTAAAATATCTTAGCATTAAATTCTTAGCTTTATAAAAAGGTATAAGTTTACACTTTATAAATAAATTAAAATATTCTAAAAACTTTCTGACAAAATTTGAGATTTGTTAAAAAATTTTTATAATTTCGTTATTAACTTAAGAATCAAAAAATATTTTAAATTAAAAATATTTTTAACATAGATAAGATGTCAGTATAGTTTGATATAGTCAGTATTTATATAGTTAATCATAAAAAAGAGAGGACAGTTTATATCTATAACTGAAAATGAGAAAAATTGATTTATCATCATTCATATGATTGCTACAAGTATTGTCTATTTTTTTCTTCTTTCTATTTTTCTTTTTCTTTTTTTTCAATTTTAACTTTTTTTTTTTCATTTTTTTTATTCTTTTTTTTTTTTCATTTTCTTTTTCATCTAATCATTTCTTATAAGCTGACAATTTATTTCATTATTTTACTTTAGATAAATTCAAAATTTTTCTCAATATGCATTTTTAAAGATAAGCAAATATTATGTAAAAATAAGTATTTCTGAAGTTATCATTTGATTTTAAAATAATAGCTAGTTAGATAGCAATTTGATAATAAGTTACATTGATTATCTTAATGATTTATAGATTAAAATAAAATTTAGAGGATTTGTTAATGTTTGTGTTTAATTTTTCAGCGATTACTTAAAAAAGTTGATTAAAAAAAAATTTCAAAATGTAGCATCTATCTTGTTGTAATTTCAAGTAAATTGACTAGCATATATCAATCACTCAATATCTCAATAAATAAGCAATTCAAAGATAATCTTTGTAAAAAATAGCATGTATAAATAGTAAGTGGTAAAGTAGGAGAAACTGCTATAAGAAATCTTCGCTACATCAGCTTTAATAATATATATTTATAGGTTAAATGTATTTAAGAGAGTATTACTACAAAAGTTATTTTTGAGTCTTTTAAAAAATGTAAAATTTCTAATAATTTAAACTTAGGTTCAAAGGCTTTTGACAACAGCATCAATGATAATAGTGATTATGATATTAATTATTATATTGATTTTAGTCACAATATTAATGATAATGATAATATTAATAATAATGATAATATTAACAAGGATGATAAAATTAATAATGATGATAAAATCAATGATAATGACAAAATCACTGATAAAAATAATATTATATAAATTTTTTTAATTTTTATTATAGTTAATATTTTTATATATATTATACTTTAATAATAGTTTATTAATATAAACATTTATTGCTATAAAAATTTAATAAAATTATAATTATATAATCATATATTTATAGTAAAAAGCTTGATTGTAAAGGAATACTTATTTATGAATCCTATATAAAATGGGTACTTATTTTGAAAGATGCTTATTTTCAGAAGAATACAATATTATAATTATTTAAAAAATTATTATCATATTATTTATTAATCAAAATTTAATGATTAGAATTTAATAACTCTTTCCAATAATTATTCAATTATAATTATGTTAATAACAAGAACAAATAAAATACACTTTTAACTTCTCAAACTTTTAATAAAAATAAAAGAACTTAAATAAATA